AGCAATATGGTCAGCTCAGTGAGGGAACTTCATGCCAGGAGATTGTAGTTTATTGTCTTCCTCTCCCCTGCCCCTGTGCTGGCAAGGTAAAGAGGTTTTACTTTGTCTTATAATGATGTTAAGCTTGAGTTTGTTGGCTCAACATTGTTGAGCACCCACGAAATACTGAACACTGTGGCAGGGTCTAGCGATTGTGCTGTCCATTGTGACAGACATTAACCACATGTGGCTATTTTACTTGGGACTAATTAAAATTAAAATTCATTTCCTCAGTCACACTAGCCACCTTTCAAGTGCTCACTAGCCATATGTAGCTCGTGGATACTGTGATAGACAGCACAAATACAGAACATTTCCACCATCACAGGAAGTTCTGTTGGGCAGCACTGGTCTTGAATTTTGCAGCATATAGATGAGGCCAGTGTGGCACAGTGCTTAAGGATACGGTCTTTGGGGTCAAACCTGGATTGGGATTGGGTGAGAGCTCCACCACTCACCTCACCAGCTTTATGACCATGTTACTTATGTTACTTAGCCTTTCTAAGCTACAGCTTTCTCCTCTGTAAAATGGTGATAACAATGCCTGCCTCATAGGGCTATCATGAAAATAAAAGGAGATGATGTATTAACATGCAGTCACTGTTCACGTAGTGTCTGTTGTCATCAATTTTATTTTAATTATCATCATCATCATTATTATTGGCAGGTGGGGTGTTTAGACTATCCAGACAGTTTATAATCATTAAGCTCTGTAATGTTCCTATTGTAGAATTTTTTTAAAATTAGGCTGTTTCCCTGAATACATTCCCTCCCTCTACAGTGGTCACCACCCTTATCCCCAACAATGCACTATAAATAACAATGCACTATAAATCATAGAAGAGCCTGGATTTGGGGGACAGCTCTGCCCCTGATCGTCGATGACTAAAGAGGTAGAGGGGCAACTATAGAGTATAGAGAAATACATTTGTTGATTTGAGTAAATTTCTGAGATATCCAGGAAAACTGTAGGACTGAGGTGGATTAGAGGAATGGGAAATAAAGCTCTTCCCAAAAGTGACTACCAGATGGTTGCTGTGCTCCTGCAGAGAGATACATTTGTTGATTTGAGTAAATTTCTGAGATATCCAGGAAAACTGTAGGACTGAGGTGGATTAGAGAAATGGGAAATAAAGCTCTTCCCAAAAGTGACTACCAGATGGTTGCTGTGCTCCTGCAGAGAGGAGCTGGCTGACTGCTTGGAGATGTATTTGTTGAAGCTATTTCCACCAAGGATCTGATTATTACGAAGACTTTTATTGCCACCTGAGTCCTGGAGCACAAATAGAGGCACCAGCCCATGGCCAAATCATTAAGACAAATTAAGACCTACTAAGCTAATGCTGGAAACAGTTACACACACAGATTTAATTTGTTTCACTTCTGGAAGAAAAGTCTGAGAGGGAACCAAACACATACCCAAGAACAGTTCTGTAGCTACCATGTGACTCTGTCACTTTTCAGGACCTTGAGGGCTAGAAGCTACTTAGATTGGTCATCTAACTGAAATAACTTCACAGGAAAAAAACCAAGTAACCCAATTATAAAATGGGCAAAAGAGTTGAATAGGCATTTCTCAAAGGAAGATATGCAAATGGCCAACAGACAGATGAAAAAATGCTCAACATCACTAAGCATCAGAGAAATGCAAATCAAAACCACACCAAGATATCATTTCACCCCAGTTAGACTGGCCATTATCAAAAAGACAGAGAATAGCATATGCTGGTGAGTATGTGGAGTAGGGGAACACTCCTACACTGTTGGTGGGACTGTAAATTAGTGCAGCCATTACAGAAAACAGTATGGAGGTTCCTCAGACAACTACAGATAGAACTGCCATTTGATCCAGCAATCTTACTGCTGGGTATATATATCCAAAGGAATGGAAATTATCATGTTGAAGGGATACCTGCACTCCCATCGGAGCTCTATTTACAACAGCTAAAAGTTGGAACCAACCTACCTGTCCATCAACAGAAGACTTGATAAGGAAAATGTGGTATATAAACACAATGGAATAGTACCCTGCCATAAAAAAGAATGAAATTCTGCCATTAGCAGCAACATGGATAAATTTAGAGAAAATTATGTTGGGTGAAATAAGCCAGGCATAGATAAAAAAATACCATATATCCTCACTCATAAGTGGGCTAAAAAATTAAATAAAACAAATAAGAAAGATACAACAACCACAATAATTCATTGAATTTTCAAAAGGAGAGAAAAGAATGAGGCCACCAGAGGTGAGAAAGGGGGAGGGGGAGGGGGATTAGCAAGAAATTGGTAAAGGACGACAAAAAAAATGTTAACATTGTGTAATGAGAAATATATAATTATCCTGATTTAAGTATCACATATTGCACACAGGTATCGATATTCAACACTGTACCCCCAGATATGTATAATCAATTATATTTCAATAAAAACAATAATAATAATATGCTAAGCTCTATAATGAAATAGGCACATTTTATAATCATATAATATACGTAGAAAACCTGTATATTTGCATTATTTTTTGCTTTTTTTTTTAAGAGACCTAAATCAAGTATGTGATAGTTCATTTGTTTTTGAATTACAGCCTCCAATTTCTCTTGAATTTTTGTCATTGTTGTTCCTTACATATTTTAATTGTTTCACTGTCAAGAA